CAGGGGGCAGGGTTCCAGAGGGGCTGTTGATCTGGCTGTCTCCTGGGGGAGGGGAGGGAGAGGGAGTGGAGGGGAGTGGAGGGGAGGGGAGGGGAGGGGAGGGGAGGGGAGAGGGGAGGGGGGGGGGAGGGGAGGGGAGGGGAGGGCAGGGGAGGGCAGGGCGGGCAGGGCAGGCAGGGCAGGGCAGGGCAGGGAGGGAGGGAGGGAGGGAGGATGATGATGCTGCTGCTGCTGATGATCATGATCATGATCATGATCATGATGCTGCTGCTGCTGATGATTATGATTATGATGATGATGACGATGATGATGATGATGATGATGATGTGATGATGATGATGATGATGATGATGATGATGATGATGATGATGATGCTGATGATGATGATGATGATGATGATGATGATGATGATGATGATGATGTGATGATGATGATGATGATGATGATGATGATGATGATGATGATGATGATGATGAGGAGGAGGAGGAGGAGGAGGAGGAGGAGGAAAAGGACGAGGAGGAGAAGGAGGAGGAGGAAGGGGGAGGAGCAGGAGCAGGAGCAGGAGCAGGAGCAGGAGGAGGAGGAGGAGGAGGAGGAGGAGGAGGAGGAGGAGGAGGAAAGAGGAGGAACTGCATCGGCGGCGGCAGCACCTGCTGTGGGAGGGGTATGTGAGACAAATGCGGATGCAAATGTGGGCGTTCCGAGCCGCTTGATCGGGGGAGCGTGTCAGGGACGCTAGCAACCAAATGTGCAGGGAGTTTTTTTTGCGGGGTGTTGCGGGGCGTTGGCCAAGGAGCGTGCGCGTGAGGCGCGATAGTCACCGCATGCAGGTGCACGTGAGGTTGAACAGTGCAACGAAAACAGTACTGTGGAGGGAAGCTGCGGTTGGACTGTGAGCGGTAAGGAGGGGACGTAAGTGGCTTGTTCACAGGTGGCCAGAGCTGGAGCTGGAGCAGGACAAGTTGTTACAGTAGCGGCGATGGAAGTTGTGCGCAAGTGCATTCGGTAGCGGCCCACAGAACGGCCACTAGCTGTTTGAGAAGCCTTGGCTGCACACTGCAACGAATGTGTATGCCCGCTGCTCCCACCCCCCCACTCCAGGGCAGGGTTGCTCCCCACAGATGGCTGCGGCTGTACGGTGGCTGGCTGGGTGAGCAGACAGCAGCCTTTGCGATGCTGGGTGTGGGGTCTGCTGCAGCTGCGTCCGCGCTCCCCCGGGGCCGCTCCCGCAACGTGGTGATGTGAGGTGAGACCCTCCTCTGCCCCCCTTCCCTTCCCCTCCCCTCCCCCCTCCCCCTCCCCCTTCCCCGTTGCTCCTCCCGCTGCTCCCGCTGCCCCCTCGAAGGGGCAGCTGGCCGCGCTCGGACCGCCTCCTCCCCCGCCGCCTCCACCGCCGCCCTTCCCCTCTCGATCGCTCCCACAGCCATGTGGAAGCACTCCACGAGTGTCAAGAACCATTGAGCCTTTCGGGGCCACGGCGCTTCCGCTCCGTCCTTAAGGGGCCGCGCTCCGGCGCGTATGCGAGCGCCCCGTCCCGTCCCGTCTTAAGTCGGGCATGTCCCGCAATTGGAGGAATATTTTAAAATGTAGAAAAAACAGTCTGGGGACGATTTTCCACTGTTCGAATATTGAATCGCTTCGCTCATTCCGCCGGCCCGTATTGTGCCATCGCGGGGTCTTGGGGGGTCTTGGCAGCCCTTGGAAGCTTCGTGGGAGCTTCTTGGGAACTTTGGGAGGCCTCGTGGATGGCTCTGGGTGGGCTCTCTTGGTGGTCTCTTGGGGGGGTCTGCCTGGCCTCTTGGGGGCCTCCTGGGAGCTTCCTGGGGGTCTCTTGGGGGCCTCTTGGGGCTTTCTTGCGGCCTGTTGGGGGCCTCTTGGGGCTCTCTTGGGGGCTTCGTGGGGCTACTTGGGGGCTTGTAGGGGCATTTCGGGGGCGTGTTTGGGCGGGAGGCTCAAAATTTCCGTTCAGGTTGCCCCTGTGGACCTTAATCATGGGGCCGTCTTGGGGCCTCTTGGACCGTCTTGAGGGTTTCTTGGGCCTTCTTGGAGCGCTCTTGGGCCGTCTTTGAGCGGTCTTGAGGGTCTCTCGGGCCGTCTTGGGGTGATCTTGGGGGCCTCTTGGACCGCCTTGAAAGGTGTGAGAGACGAAGAGGCGGATATGTTAAAAATGCACGCTTTCCTAAGGGAATGACGACGATTTTTGCTTGTGGGAGCCCTCTTGGGACGCCGCTTAGGGACCTCTTGGGGCGTCTTGAAGGCCTGTTGGGCCGTCTTGAGGCCATCGTAGGCGCTTGGGGGTGATATTTCGGCGTCTCCCGGCTCTCTTGGACCGTCTGGAGGGCTTCTCGGGCCCCTCTTGGACCGATTTGGAGCCCTCCTGGGCTCCGAAAAAGAGTTCTTGAGGGTTTCTTGGGCCTTCTTGGAGCGCTCTTGGGCCGTCTTTGAGCGGTCTAGAGGGTCTCTCGGGCCGTCTTGGGGTGATCTTGGGGGCCTCTTGGACCGCCTTGAAAGGTGTGAGAGACGAAGAGGCGGATATGTTAAAAATGCACGTTTTCCCAAGGGAATGGGACGATTTTTGCTAGTGGGAGCCCTCTTGGGACGCCGCTTAGGGACCTCTTAGGGACCTCTTGGGGCGTCTTGAAGGCCTGTTGGGCCGTCTTGAGGCCATCGTAGGCGTTTGGGAGTGATATTTCGGCGTCTCCCAGCTCTCTTGGACCGACTGGAGGGCTTCTCGGGCCCCTCTTGGACCGATTTGGAGCCCTCCTGGGCTCCGAAAAGGGACCTTGCCGGGACCTTGCCGGGACCTTGCCGGGACCTTGCCGGGACCTTGCCGGGACCTTGCCGGGACCTTGCCGGGACCTTGCCGGGACCTTGCCGGGACCTTGCCGGGGTCTTTTTCGTCCGGGGACCCCCAGGGCCCGCCCCGCGCGCGCGAACTAGAAATATTGTTGAGCAGTTACAGGAGATCTTAGCACGCCTCTGGCCCGTTGGGCCGGCGAATTTTTGAATATTGTCTGATTAGTCTTTAGTGATCCTCCCAAATCCTCCTGTAGGAGGACATGCCCGACCAAAGTCCCGTCCCCTCTCGATCGCTGCCGGGCCCGCCCGACGCCCCCCGCCCGGACGGGCGCAGCGCCGCCCGCGGGACCCGCCCGCGCCCGCGCCGGCGCGCGCCGCAGCTGCTCCGCCGGCAGCCGCGGAGCTCCGACGACCTGCCAGGCGGACGCGCCCGCGCGCGCGCGCCGCCAGACAGCCCAAGCTTCACCGAGCGCGTTCCACTGCTCGCAAAGTGCCTACTCGCAAACGTCGAAAAACACATGTCTTCCTTTATGTAATGCATCGCAAATCCCCCGCGGCGGATCCAGGCCGTTTGCGAGTAGCTACTGTGCGAGTGCTGGAATGCGCTTTTGTCTAAAGCCGGTGGGAAGCCAAGCCTTCTCGGCTTCAGCCCTGAGATCTTGGCGTCTCTCATTTTCTTGTCTGGCTCGTTTTGGCCCAAAAACGGTGTCTGGCACCCTCACGGATCGCTCCGGCTCGAAAACGTTGCGCAGGAAGATGGCGTTTGGGGCTCGAGTCCTGGTTTCTCACGCTGTTTCGATTTTTTCGAGACGTCGGATCTGGGGGGTTCGGGCAGGCTCGGGTGGGCACCGAGGTGGGCCCAGATGCCGGCCAAGAGCGCCCGGCGAAGGCCCCAAGATGGGCCGCGAGGGCCCCGAGAGCGCCCTCCAGACGGCCCAAGAGGGTCCGAAGGTTCAGGAAGGCCCGAGGCTCAAGACGGCCCAAGAGAGCCCCAGTATAACCCACCAGGGCTTCCAGAGCCTCCTCCCTCTGTGCCCTCCTCTCGTCGTGGGCATGCCCTGCAGCCTTGTCCTGCCCGCAGCAGGAGGCGGATGGGCCTCCGCGCATCCCCACCAGCCCCTGGATGCATCCTTGCACGCCCGGTCAGGGGTTGCTCCGCAGACTCCCTGGACTGCACGCTGGCTCTGACGCCCTAGGACGCTGCTGCTTGCCGCTTGACCGCGGCCTCGCGCGCGCCCGCCGCTCGTCGCGGCCGCAGCCCGCCCGCGACCGCCCGCCGCTGGCGCTTCCGCCTGCGGCTGTAAACAAAAAAAATCCCCACCAGCCCCGCCCGCCCCCGACCCCCCTGCGCCGGTGGTCAGGCAGCTTGCAGTCGTCGAGCTGAGCCCGACCCCCAGCTCCGCCCCACCTCCGCCCGCCAGTGGCCCCGCCCGCCGTCCGCCGGCGGGCTCCCGAGGCTGCGGCCCGACCTCGCCGGCGGCAGGCTCCGGCGAGGGCGTCCCCCCTCGCCGCACAGTTGGCGGCGGGGACGCTGACGCCCCCTCCGGCTGCATGGCAGCATCTCCCACGCCTGACGCGTCCCCCGAGGGACAGCCCCAGGACGGAGGGTGCAACGCGCGACGCGGGCAGCCGTGGAGGCCACCGGGAGGATAAGTGCCGCTCGTGGCGGCACGACGACTCCAACCGTGAGCCCTGCAGTCGCAATTGGAGTGGTTGGTCTGACTGGTCCAGCTGGGGTCCCACTCACCGCAGTGAATCTTGGAGCCGTCTCCGCACCCAGCGGGCGTACACAGAGGATCGGACTGCCCCGTGACCCAGCGCCCCCCCTCGAATGACCTAACTGGCCCCAACACCGGTCGGTACATGTGCAGGGCCCCGCTGGACGATGTCCAACTCTCTCCCCCATCGGTTGCGAGGACCACGCCTCCGCAGTGAAGCACCCACAGAGAGAGCTCGGGGACTCCTTCAGTGGCATCAGGCGCCAGTGGACTCACACGCACCCCACCCGAAGTGGCTGCGCCTGCGCAGATCCCTCCAAGCAGGACCCGGGATCCTGTGAGGAGTTCCTCCGAACTTGGCGCCAGTACGACTACAACCCACTGACAATGGACAGGGCCCTTCAACTTCGGGTCAACTTGGCAGCCGTCCGCGACAAGTTCGCGAATCGGGGAAAAGGAAACGGTACCCCACACAAGGGCAAGGACCAGGACAATCGTGCGGACGGCACCTCTTGGCAGACAGACCAGGGAGCCACCAGCCGGGCCGCGAGCGCTCGCCGGCCCTGGGTGCGGCAGCAGACCCCTTCGCACGTCGCCGCCCTCTCTACAGCTTCCCTTCCGCCCCTGCGGGCTCCCCTCTCTTTCCTGGACATGCCACCGTCAGTCGCCTTCGCCTCGCGGTTGCCCGCCACCTCACCCATCATGCGACCGTTTGTCGCCTCACCACCTCTTCGGCACCGTCCCCCCGCGAGCGCCGGCTCCCTGCCGCTCCGCGCGCCAGTGGGTCCGCGGTGCGGGCGCCTTCCTCTTCGCCCACCCGCCTCCGCGCCCGCCCCGCGGGCGGCCCCCCCAGTGGCCGCCCTGGCTTCGTGCCCAATACCGCCTGGCGCGCGCCCCGCTGGGGCTGGCGGCCCGCCCCCGGCCTCCCGGGACGCCCCCTTGCTCCTTGGTTTTCTTGTGGCCCTGCGCCCCCTGGCGCCAGGCCGCCCCCCTCGCCCCTCCCCCCTGTCTCCTGCTGCGAGACCGCCGGAGCGCCCGATGCGTGCCACCGCCGCGTCTGACCCCCACGGCGCTTGCCCAGCCGCTTTGCCCCGCTCTAGGCGCTGCTCGGGCCTCTCCTGTGCCGTACGGCGGTCGTGGGCCCCTCCCTCGGGTCCTCGTCCGCCTAGCGCGGCCCCGTCGTCCTGGTGAGAGGCCGCAGGGAAACTCCCTCGGCCCAAGACGCTGGCCTGCAGGCTTCCCCCCCGGGGGGTATCCTCCCTGGCGGTCCTCCATCAGTTCCCGCCATTCACCCAGCTTGCGACCGTTAGTGGCTCTCGTCGCCACCGGTACCTTGTGCCGCACGTTATCTTTAAGTAGAGCTGCGACCGTTAGTCGCCTTCACCTCGCTTTTTTGTGCTCCACCAGACCCCGCGCGCGAGGTCGCAGGGAAACCCCCTCGGCCCAGGGCGCTGGTCTGCTGGCCTCCCCCTCCGTTAGGGTCTCTCCCCGGCCGTTCTCCGTCGGTTCGGCCATCGCCTGCCCCGCCTTCTGCCTGCCTGCCTCTCCCGCGGCCCATCCCCGGCTGCTTTGGCCTTGTGACCAATACCACCCGGCGCGCACCCTGCTGGGGCTGTCGGTGCTCGCCGGGGCTCCTGGTGCTCCAGCATTGGGCCCCCTTGTGGCCCTTCACCTCTCGGTGCGGGGCGACCCCCCTGCGCCCCGCCCGCCATGGGGCGCTCGGGGCTTCTTCGCCGCTCTACCATCCCTCCCTACACGGGGTCGACGGACACCTGGTCCTCCCCCATCGCGTCTGCTCATCCCTGGCAGTTCTCTGGCTGTGCCTTCCTGCCACCTGTGCGGCGGGTGTCTGCACACGCCCTCGGCATTACCACTTTCTGTCCTCTATCTGGGCTCTCTTCCACCTTGCGGCGCGGGCTGCTCGACCCCGCCTGGTGGCACCCACGGCCTCCCTACCTGCTTCATGCTGCAGTCTTCTGGCTGTTTCCTCCCGCCATAGGTCGCGCGGTCTGCTCGCACCCGCCATGGCCGCCACCCAACACTCCTCGGTGTCTGGCGATCCGGATCCATTCCGTTGAGCGCCCGCATGCCTGGCTTTCCCTCCGAGGCGGTGGCCTGCTGTCCTACGGTCCGCGTCCCTCGGTCTGCCCTGGGCTTGCTGTACGTCATGGTGGCGGTCTTCCTCGTCATGGGCATGGTTTGGCTTCTGAATCACCACCTGGTGCTGCACGTCGCCTGGAAATACTTCCTGGCGTGCGCTCTCTTGTCAGCGGCAGCGAGGTCCGCCTCCTGTTTGCCTCTCCCCTTCTTTAGTCTTGTCTCTTTTCGCTTTCCTCTTCCCGTGCGCTAATTTAGGCCGTCGCCTCTGTGCTTCGCCCCCTGACGCCGCCCGATCTTCTCGCCGCGGCCGCGATCAAAAAAGTTTCCCCACCAGCCATCCAGAAACGATTGCCAGGGGAATTGCCCCACCCACTGAGGGAAGTGAGAAGCACGCAGTGGAACTGCCGCGTGAAAGCGTGCCGGGAAAGCCGGCAACGGAGGATGAGGAGGCGGCTTTCGCGAATCTGTTGTGGGGAACTCTTGGATCCATCTTGGGGCCCTCTTTGGGTCCCCGTGGGGCCTGTTGGGGCACTCTTGGGGCCCTCTTGGGGCTCTTTTGCCCCTTGAGACTTCGGGCAGGTCTAGGGGACCTGCTGGCACGGTCTTAGACCGCATTACGGTCGTAGCGGCGGTCGGGGAGGTTGAGTTCGAACTCGAGCTCGAGGCCGACGTCGCCGTTGCCGTTGCCGTCGTCGTCGTCGTCGTCGTCGTCGTCGTCGTCGTCGTCTTCGATGGCGTCGTCGATGTGGTCGTCGAGGGATCCGCCGTCGTCGTCGTGGTCGTGGTTTTTGGTCGAGGTCGTGGTCGTGGTCGCGGTCGTCGTGGTGGTGGTCGTCGTCTTCGTCGTCGTCGTCGTCGTCGTCCTCGACGTCGTCGTTGGGTC